AAACCAGTATGTGATTCTATGATTCTTGTTAATTTGTAAGGAAATTGGTTTCTCTTCCCAGTGGGAGATACAATCCTTAAATGAACGCGCTAGAAAATTGCATTTTTTCTAATTGTCTTTATTTTTTGGTGGTGTTTTTCCCTGAACTATTCTCACTACATCACTGCTGAGGGGATGCTCTGTGCCCAGCTTGGGGCAGGTCAGGGTGATACCTCTGTGGGCACATGGGCTGGGCACAATGGGCACCAAACTCACGCATGTCAGTTCAGCATCAGACCTGGCAACTCTCACCCCCCAAAAGCTGCTGAAGGAGCAGGTGGGCTCAGCCCTGGCTCCCACGGGTGTTCCCGAGGCCATGCTGTCCTCTTTACTACTGCTGCAAACTGTTACCCCGACTCTTAACCTCCTGGGCACTCTTTTGCCATGCAGTAATTTTTCATGCAGGAAATGAGTGAAGAACCCCAATTTCCTCTTGTCCTCCCACGACAGCTCTTGCTCCAGCTGCAGGGGCTGCAGAGGGCCCAGGGTGCTGGCAGCACCCTGGTTATTTTGCAAGCGGGGCCGCCCTCCTTCGGGCTGGTGAGGCAGACACCGGGAGCCTCCCAGGGCGCTTTTCTCCAGCAGAATGAAGCACTGCTTTGCTTCCATCCCCCCACAGGCTCCCAGTCCCCAGCCCAGTCCCATGCTGGGAAAGCTGGGAGTGGGGGCTGGCCTCATGGCTGGGCCAGCCATTCTGGCCATCGGGCGTGGCAAAGCCATTGAGCCTGGAAGGGAGGAAGTGGTGGGGGGTGGTTTGTGGAGGTGTAGCAGCCCCTTTGCTGGGGACACAAGGACAGACAGTCTCCAGCCAGCTGGGCAAGGGGACACTGGGCTGGCCAAGAGCCTTGTGAGGATGGTGATGGCATCTCAGCCAAGGGCAGGGACAGCCTCACATGGGGCCAGGGTGTCCCCTGGGGCTGGTGGTACAAGAAAGAGGAAGTGGTGGGGGGTGGTTTGTGGAGGTGTAGCAGCCCCTTTGCTGGGGACACAAGGACAGACAGTCTCCAGCCAGCTGGGCAAGGGGACACTGGGCTGGCCAAGAGCCTTGTGAGGATGGTGATGGCATCTCAGCCAAGGGCAGGGACAGCCTCACATGGGGCCAGGGTGTCCCCTGGGGCTGGTGGTACAAGAAAGGGGACTGAGAGGGTCACTTCAGCTTTCCTTAGAAGAGGAGACACCATTCTCTCCCCCCCACCCTCCCCACAGTGCTGCTGGCTCCTGCCCCTTCTGCTGTGTCCCTCTGTGCCTCAGTTTCCCCAGCCAGAGAGCTGCGGCACAGACCCACAGTGCTGGGGTTTTCAGTCTGATTGGAGGAGTTTGGTGCTCGGTGTGTGTACACGCACTCCTGTGTGTATGTGAATCCTTTTAACAACCCCCCAGCCCCAATTTCTCTGCAAGCAGGAGCTGAGGTGCTGGCTTTGCACCATTCAGCTTAAGGGCATCCTTATAAACACTCTATTAATAATTAATGATTGGTTAATAGCAGTGGCAGTTTGTTAGCTTGTGCGCATTATTCATTTACTAGTTACTAATAGGGACTTCAGTACCCTCTGACGCGTTTATGAAGGGGTTTGCAGGGCTGAGGGAGGTGATGGCCCACTGACGGGCTGTAAACCCCAGTGGAACTCGGGGAGGGGGTAACATCTGCTTGAACCCCAGGACTCCCTTGGGCTGGAGCAGGTCTGGAGGGCACAAAGGCATGAACCCTGCACGTGGTGCAACTAGCTCCGACCACCCTTTCCGGGTCCTGCCCAGCGCCACACTTGCACTGAACCCTGATCAGGCTTTGTTTGCTGATTTTGGCTTTTATTTGAGGCACATGGAGAAGAAAAGTGAGAAAAAACCAAACGAGCCACAAAAGTCCCTTTTTTTTTTTCTTCTTTTTTCCCCGCAAATACACTTCACATGCTTGTTACATATAAAACTGTGCCAGGTCTGCACTGCCAAACCTGCCTTTGCTCCCGGCTGCGAGGGTCCGTACCTGAACCCTTCCCCACCCCCTGCCATCCCCAGGTAAAAAACCCCCAGACACCGAACAAGAGATGAGGCCGATGGGACCCCAGGTACGACACGGCATGCACGGCTCGGGGAGCAACGGGGCACCGGGCATGCGAAGGGGCTGTGAGAAATGGCTGGACCCACGGCAGGGGATGGATGGGGAGAGATGGGCAGCATCCCCCCTGGGTCGGGGGCCGGATCCTGGCAGTGACCGCTGCAGCCCAGGCAGGTGGGAGCAGCCCTGGGAGCACCTTGGAGAGGAGGGCGGGGTGCTGTGCCCTCCTGTACCCCTCTCTCCCCTGGGGCTCAGCTGGGGCTGGGGGGCACCCAATTCCCATGGGGGTAAGAGCAGGATAGGGTGCAAAGGACCCCTCGGGAGCTCCTGCCTCCAGTGCAGCCCCGAAGGCCCAGGGATGCCTGGCAGGAGACAGGCAGCTGCCTCCTCCAGCTCCTGGAACCAGCATGCCCTGCCTGACTGCTGCTGGCTGGAGAAGGGACATCCAGGTGGGGGACATGCCCGCAGGAATGGGGACAGAGGTGGGACCTGCAGCAATCCCAAAAACCTATGCCCCAAGCCAAAGCCAGCACTGCCCTAGGCTAGGATGATAGGGGAAGCCAGGGACTGTCCCTGCAGCAGCAAGGATCAGAGCCCGGGACACCGATCCACGGCCCCCAGCACCGGTGGGTGCAGGATCTGGGCAGACACGATGGAGGTGCAGCCAGGACCTTCTCCCGGAGTTTGCTGTTGCCATTGGTTCCCGAGCTGCTTGTTCCAATCCTTTCTCACCTCTTCTTTCCTGGGCTATACAGCCTCCCCGTGCAGGATGAGCCAGCTCCTGCTCTCCTTCAACTTTGCAAGCCAAAGAAGATGGACCCAAAAGTGCACCCATACAAATCTCAACCCCCTCCACCCCTTCACCCCCGCTGCTGCCATGGTGGCTTGGGCAGATGCAGAGACATGGCCTGACCTCCTCTGGGGCTGCTCCGCCTGATTTTCATGACCTTGGAATCATTTTGCCTTTTTTTTCCCTTTTTTTCTTGCTGACACCTCCTCAGAGCCTGTCCTTGGGTGGGTTATTATTGCTTGTGCAGGAGTGTCCCCGGGCACCCACGTTTGCAGCTGCTGCTTCTTGAATCCACTGATGGGAAGCTCTCAAGGCACGGCTGTGTCCCGGGGGGTCCGGCTTTGGGAGGGGCTGGAGGAGACCCTGGGCTTGGCACAGCCTCTCCCTGGCACCCCATTCCTGCATTGCCCCGGAAGACTTTTCTCTTGGAAATTCATTTTTAAAAAAAAAAATCATTGGACCAAAAGAACCCCCAACAATGAGAAAAAAGAAGAATCACAAACAACCATCAGGAAATTTTTCTGGTGAGTGTCTTAAAACAAAAAGGGAAAAGGGGGAAAAAAAGGAAGCAGTTTTTTTTTCCCAGGCCCAAATGCTGCTGATCTGGTAGAGAAATGCATAGTTGGTAGCAAAAACCTCAGCTACATCGGGAGCTGCTGGAGCCAGGATGGCCCTTGAGCCACTGCACCCCAAGGGCTCGCCATGGGGCTGCGACAGCCAGAGTCATCACTTCCCAACCCCATGGTCCACACTGTTCCAACACTGCTGGCCTGCTGCGCCTCTGGCACATCTCTGTCTGCATCCCAGCACAGCGAGATCCTGTCGCCAGCCCCAGGACACCGCTGGTGCTCTCACACCCCCGCCCAGCCCTGTCCCACCACGGCCATGCCTGGGGATGGGCAGCAGACAATGGTTCTCCTCCGGGAGAAGCTCAGATCATCTTCATGTTGAACTTCCTGGCTCCTCCTTGACCAGTGGTGGTGGTGGGACCATCCACCTTGCGGAAGGAGTACTCCACCGAGAAGTTGTTCTTGTGCTGCCCCCGGCCTCGGCTCCAGACAAAGAGGAGGAGGAAGCAGAAGAGCACGACGCCCAAGAAGGTGATGCAGCCCATGGCTGTGGAGACCAGGATGGTCTTGAGGTCCAGCGTAAACTTCAAGAAGACTTGCGTGTCGTTGTGGGAAGTGTCGTTGAACTCGCCGAGGTACAAAGTCCGGTTCGCATAGTGGGAGCCATCGGCTGGGCGTCCCTTGACTGTCAAGGTAGCGAAGTAGGTGTCGTTGCCACCTGCGTTGCTGGCAATGCAGATGTAGGTGCCACTGTCCTGCACCTGGGCAAAGCGGATCTCCAGGGTGCCCCCAGGCAGCACAGTCGCCCGCCCTGTGCTGCGGGTGGTGATCATGCGGTGCTGAGGGGACACCCAAGCGATGGAGGGGTCTGGCTCCCCATCTGCCCGGCAAAGGAAGGACACGGACTGCCCTTCCCGGGCTGTCACGTGCTGCAGCTTCCGATCCCTTATCTTGGGCTTCTGGCAGGTGAAGTACTCAAAGAGCACGGAGTCCGGGAAGTCACGCAGGGCATTGCCCTGGATTTCAGGTGGCGAGGAACACATGGGCTGCTGCCCATCGAAGTTGAGTGTCTTCCTTCGCTGCAGGATCCAGAGGAGGCGGCAGTCGCAGGCCAGGGGGTTCCTGTCCACCCGCAGCGTCTCCAGTGTGTTGACGGAGTGGAAGGTGCTCTCCTCCAGTGTGGAGAGAAAGTTGCTGGAGAGATTGAGCAGCCGGATTTGTCTCAGACCAGAGAAAGCCTGCGGCTCCACGGACATCAAGAGAGCGCCCACGATGTGGAGCTCCTGGAGCCGGATGAGGTCTTTAAAGGAGCCCTTCAGCACAGTGCTAATGGGGTTGTAGGACAGATTCAGGTACCGGAGGTACACCAGGTTTCTCAAGGCAGCGGCGGGCACGGCTGTGATGTTGGTGTAGGTGATGGAGAGCGACGTGAGGTTCAGGCCCTGGAAGCTGGTGGGGGAGACGTCTTCCAGCAGCGGCCAGTTGTCAATCTCCAGCTGCAGGAGGTTGTAGAGCTTCTTGAAGTTTTGGTCCTCCAGTGCAGAGATGCTGAGGTGCCGGAGACGCAGCACCTCCAGGTTCTGGAGGTAGGAGAGCGACTCAGCTGAGATGGAGGTCAGGTTGCACTTCTCGATGGTCAGCTGCTCCAGGCCAAGCAGCCCCGAGAAGGCCCGCTGGGAGATGTACACCAGGTCGTTATCGCCCACCTCCAGGCTCTTCAGGTTTCGCAGGTCCTGGAACATGTAGTCCAGCAGGATGACAAGTTTGTTCTCACTGATGTCCAGGAGGGTGAGGTTGGTCAGCTTGGTGAAGACCCCCGGGGGGATGAGCTTGAGCTGGTTCCCCCGCAGCCGCAAGGTCTGCAGGTTGAACAGGTTGCTGAAGGCGCCCGGTTCCACATTGGAGATGATGTTCTCGCTGAAATCCAGCTCCTCCAGCAGCGGGTAAGGGGAGAGGTCGCCCGGGTTCAAGCAGCGGATGCGGTTCTTGTTGAGCTCCAGGATCTTGGTCTCAGTGGGGATGCCCTCGGGGATGGAGGTGAGCCGCTTGCGGTGACAGACCACTGACTTAATCTGCGGGGCGCACTCGCAGCGGGCAGGGCAGGCTGCCGCCTGCGGTGGGCTCAGGAGGACCAGCTGGAGGACCAGGACCAGGAGCCAACATGTCATTGTGTAGAGCATGGTCTTATGGGCTCACTACCATTCTCTGGAGGGGAGAGAGATGTGGAGTCAGCAGTGAGCCTGGGGGGAGCTAACAAAGTCCCACCCAGCCCCAATCACCTGTCTCTGGGCTGAGACTGGAAAATGCTCCCCAAACCGTGGCCCATGGCCCCGATAAGGTCCCAGACCTCCCTCCCAGAAAACCCTTTGGACCCCTTCACCTAACATGTGATGCAGTGACTGTGTCCTATGCAAATCTGGGGTAAACAAGCCTGAATGAACTGCTAGGAGAGCAGGGAAACTGAGGCAGGGTGAGATATTTGCATGAGGAGAGAGACATGGCTGCAGATCCACATCTCAGCCTCTGCCCCTTGCCAGCTCAGACCCGCTCCATGCCACGGATGGTGCACACACAGGCGCAGGGGACTGTGAGCATGAGTGCCCCAGGGTAATGAGACAGACCCACAGGGCAGCACTGCAGCGAAAAGATGCAGCCAGAGGCCTTGCAAACTCATGACAGGGTTGGGATGCCACATTCCCTCTGCTCCCCATGAGGGGGCAGCGAGGTCTCATCCAGCAGCACAAATCCTTCCCAGGCCCAGGGCTCAATGAGGTCCCGCAGGACAGGGGGTGCTCGGCAGATTAAGGCGGCTGTGGGCACAATCTTTGCAGATGAGGGATTAACACCGACCTCGTGCGGCACGGTGCCCCAGCTGCCCTCCTTTCCAGGGATTAGCACTTCGCCGCCGCTTTCTCTTTTCTCTGCTTCCCCTTCTCTGCTCCCTGTACCCTCCTATGCCCCACATCTGCAGGGCTGCCATCCCCCCTGGAAACGCACCTCCAGGTTCCGATGCAAACTCGTCAGCTGCCTTTCTGTATCAAAGCACTGTCATTAACCTAATTAACTGGCAGAGCTGCTTAGTTGGGGTGCTGCAGGGTGCATTTGGGTCTGATGAGGGAATGTGGGCAATTTGGGGGTACCAAGAGCAACCACCTCTCCGGAGGTGAAGCAAGCGGGGCCGTGTGCCATCACCCCCACAGCACTGGGACAAACTGGCTCCAGCCCTTCTGCCTTTGCGGAAGCCCCAGCCACGGCTCTGGGGAATGCTGGACCTCGCTTCAGGGTTTTCTTGCCCCAGCGCCCCATGCATACCCCCTTCTGTCCCTCTGGGCATGTGGGGGACCCCAAATGTGTCTGTTGGAACCTGGCAGGTTGTGGGGAGAGGGGACGGGATGGACTGGCAGAACAGGATGTCGGTGGCTGCCCAAGCTCATCGTGGTGATGCCACCTGTCCTCATTGCCCTAAAGCTTCTGAAAAGCTGGACTTGAGTCAGCTGGTGCTTGGTTTAGGGGGTGATGGAGGGAGAAAGGAAGAACTGCTGCTCCATCACCAGGAGAGATGTGGGAGCTGCTGGGGCAGGTTTGCATTGGGGAGAGGACAAGCCATCATATCCCCCATCCCTGGCCCTTTGATTAAGAGGCACCGCGGAGGAAAGAGCACCCAGGGTCATGGGGATGGTCACGGGGATGAGGAAGCAGGACACACGGGGCCCATGCAGGGTGCTAAGCCACCCCCTGCTTCCTGCCAAGCTGCTGCCCTTCACCCAAACCTGCCAACCCCCCTCCTCCCCATCCAGAGGGACCTGGACAG